TCCTTCTCTTCCTCCTCCTCCTTCTCTTCCTCCTCTCCTTCTCTTCCTCCTCCTCCTTCTCTTCCTCCTCCTCTTCCTCTCCCTCTTCCTCCTCCTCTCCCTCTTCCTCCCTCCTCATCCTCTTCCTCTTCCTCTTCTTCAGAGGTCCTCCTCCTCCTCCTCCTCCTCCTCCTCCTCCTCCTTCTCTTTCTCTTCCTCCTCCTCTTCCAGGACTGGGTCTTCCTTCTCCTCCTCTTCTCAGGACGAGATCATCCTGTCTCCTCTCACCACCTCCTCTTCCCCTCGCCTCCTCCTCTCTGTCTCCTCCTGGAACGAGGTTCTTCCTCCCCTCTCCCTCCTCTCCTTCTCCTCCTCTTTCAGGGACGGGGTCTCTCCAGCTCTTCCTCTTCCTCCTGGGACAGAGGTCTCCTCCTTCTCCTCCCACCGCCCCTCCCCCGCCTCCCCCTCCTCCCCCCTCCCCTCCCCCTCCTCCCCCCTCCTCCTCCTCCCTCTCTGTCTCCTCCTGGAACAGGGTCCTCCTCCTCCCCAAACAGGGTCCTCATCTTCCCCTCGACAGGTCATCATCCTCTTCAGAACTGGATCCTCTTTCTTACCTCTCTCTCTTCCTCCTCCTCCGTCTCTGAAACAGGTGCTCTTCCTTCTCTCCCTCCTTCCTCAAGGAGTCTTCCTCTCCTCCACCCCCCCTCCAGGGACGGGGTCAGTAAAGTGCCTCACAAAATATAGCCATAAACCTGACCAGCTCGGCTCTCCTACTAACTCTCCGACCTACGACCATTCCTCTCACTCCGCCTCTTAAACTTATAAATTCCCACCAAAATGACGGCTTACCATCTCCCTAAATTCCCACCAGAATTTAGAAAAGATTTTTGTTTACCAACGACTCAACCCGTCCCAAATTCCCACAAGGATTAACTAACAAATGTTTTAAGGAAGGCGACCTTTAAAAAATGTCCTTAAATTCCCATAATTATCGGACGGGACCTATCAGCACGACCAGCTTAAAGCCACACGTATACCTGGAACTAATTCTCTGCATTATGAAGATTTAAATTCTCGCAACAATAAAAGACTTACATAATCTATAGTGACAGAATCTATAGTGACAGAATCTATAGTGACAGAATCTATAGTGTTGATGGTGTCATGAGTTCAATATCCCCTCCACCCCACCCTCCCCACCCCTCCCCCATCCCCTCCTCAAAATTATTGATCCTCTGGGGAGAATTATGAAACACCATCTATCTTATTTTCATCCATAAAAGATTATTTAAATATGAAATTATATCCCTCATTAGAATTACCCAGCGTGTAGCTCTTAAATTCTCGGCCGTGTAGAGATTATAACTAAATTTTCACCTTTGGTTTGGCAGTATGTATGTATGTATGTATGTATGTATGTATGTATGTATGTATGTATGTATGTATGTATGTATGTATGTTACGTTACCTGAAGCTCTTACAACCAAATCGTTATGGGTTATGTGACATCTGTAAACTCTTGGTGGTGTTGACGTCAGCTGTAGTGATCGAGAAATATGCTGAAGTTCACTACTAAATTTACGTTCATTTACAAATTAGTACAAATAGTAGGGGGGGTTAAAACACAGTAATGTTAGTTGTTGATTGGTGATGTTAGTTGTTGATTGGTGATGTTAGTTGTTGATTAGTGATGTTAGGTGTTGATTGGTGATGTTTATTGTTGATTGGTGATGTTAGTTGTTGATTGGTGGTGTTAGTTGTTGATTGGTGATGTTAGTTGTTGATTGGTGATGTTAGTTGTTGATTGGTGATGTTAGTTGTTGATTGGTGATGTTAGTTGTTGATTGGTGATGTTAGTTGTTGATTGGTGATGTTAGTTGTTGATTGGTGGTAGTTGTTGATTGGTGGTGTTAGTTGTTGATTGGTGATGTTAGTTGTTGATTGGTGATGTTAGTTGTTGATTGTTGGTGATTAGTGATGTTAGTTGTTGATTGGTGGTGTTAGGTGTTGATTGGTGATGTTAGTTGTTGATTGGTGATGTTAGTTGTTGATTGGTGATGTTAGGTGTTGATTGGTAATGTTGTTGATTGGTGATGTTTATTGTTGATTGGTGATGTTAGGTGTTGATTGGTGATGTTAGTTGTTGATTGGTGATGTTAGTTGTTGATTGGTGATGTTTATTGTTGATTGGTGATGTTAGTTGTTGATTGGTGATGTTTTTGTTGATTGGTGATGTTAGGTGTTGATTGGTGATGTTAGTTGTTGATTGGTGATGATAGTTGTTGATTGGTGATGTTTATTGTTGATTGGTGATGTTAGTTGTTGATTGGTGATGTTAGTTGTTGATTGGTGATGTTAGTTGTTGATTGGTGATGATAGTTGTTGATTGGTGATGTTTATTGTTGATTGGTGGTGTTGGTTGTTGATTGGTGATGATAGTTGTTGATTGGTGATGTTAGTTGTTGATTGGTGATGTTAGGTGTTGATTGGTGATGTTGTTGATTGGTGATGTTAGTTGTTGATTGGTGGTGTTAGGTGTTGGTGTTGTTGATTGGTGATGTTAGGTGTTGATTGGTGGTGTTAGTTGTTGATTGGTGATGTTAGTTGTTGATTGGTGATGTTGGTTGTTGATTGGTGATGTTTATTGTTGATTGGTGATGTTAGTTGTTGATTGGTGATGTTAGTTGTTGATTGGTGATGTTAGTTGTTGATTGGTGATGTTAGTTGTTGATTGGTGGTGTTAGTTGTTGATTGGTGATGTTAGTTGTTGATTGGTGGTGTTAGTTGTTGATTGGTGATGTTAGTTGTTGATTGGTGATGTTAGTTGTTGATTGGTGGTGTTAGTTGTTGATTGGTGATGTTAGTTGTTGATTGGTGATGTTAGGTGTTGATTGGTGGTGTTAGTTGTTCATTGGTGGTTTAGTTGTTGATTGGTGATGTTAGTTGTTGATTGGTGATGTTAGTTGTTGATTGGTGGTGTTAGTTGTTGATTGGTGGTGGTGGTTGATTGGTGATGTTAGTTGTTGATTGGTGGTGTTAGTTGTTGATTGGTGATGTTAGTTGTTGATTGGTGATGTTAGGTGTTGATTGGTGGTGTTAGTTGTTGATTGGTGATGTTAGTTGTTGATTGGTGATGTTAGTTGTTAATTGGTGATGTTAGTTGTTGATTGGTGGTGTTAGTTGTTGATTGGTGGTGTTAGTTGTTGATTGGTGGTGTTAGTTGTTGATTGGTGGTGTTAGTTGTTGATTGGTGGTGTTAGTTGTTGATTGGTGGTGTTAGTTGTTGATTGGTGATGTTAGTTGTTGATTGGTGATGTTAGTTGTTGATTGGTGGTGTTAGTTGTTGATTGGTGGTGTTAGTTGTTGATTGGTGGTGTTAGGTGTTGATTGGTGATGTTTATTTTGTTTTGTTTATAATGTTTTCGTAGTGGTGAGAATAAACGAGGGAAAAAAAAAAGTTAAAAAAAATATGTATATACGATTTTTTAAGTGAAATAAATTTTGTAGGTTTGAAAAAGTTTGTTTAGATAATTTTTGATATCTTAAGGAAAATATAATCAAGAATAAATTTTTCAGTTTCCTCCATGTTATTAAAATTATTAAAAGTAAAAAAAAATCCTTATATTGCAAAAAAGTGTTTGTCTCGTTGTAAGGCTAAATTGGTCGATTATATTATTACTAAAACGCCTAACATGTTAAGTGAGTCTTGCAATTAAAACAACTTTGCAGTGTTGATAGGATTAATTTCTTTATTGATTTGTCATGTTGATAGTTTTGAAAATTGGTAAATACAATAAGAACTTCACCAATATTTATTCGCTAAAATTCACATTCTTGACCTTACTTGACCTATGAGCTATTTTTTATTTGACCTTACCTGACCTATGAGTTATTTTTTATTTGACCTTACCCGACCTATGTATTTTTTGACCTTACCTGGCCTACCAGCTATATAAAATTCTCATACTTGACCTGACGTGACCTCCTGTTTCTGTTGCAGCTGTAATTGTTGTTTGTTAACTGTTGTAGTTAGTGTGATTAATACTCCTTTTCACCTCCTTAGCACTCCAACTCCTGTAGTACTCCGGTTCCTGTAGTTTACTCCTCTGTAACAAAGCTTTTCTCACATTATGCTCAGACTCGCTGTGATAATTCTCTTCCATTATGCTCCACCACTTTAATATTTGTATGTATCTATTCTCTTATAATACTCTAGTGTAATATTCTCCTGCTATAATGCTTCACCATCAATAAATACTCCGTAGATATGATAATGTTCCATAATACTCTTGTAGTCTCCTGCTATAATGTTTCACCATCTGTAATTCCTATAATACTCGACAGTAATACTCTTGTAATGTGATACTATGCTTCTCTTGATGCTTCACCATCTATAATGCTATTCACTGTAATCAGCCATTATAATACTCTGCTTTATATATATAATGCTTCACAATTTATTATACTAGTGCCTATAATATTTCACTATAATACGCTTATAGTGTAATACTCTGCTAATTATAATGCTTCACTATCTATAATAATCTATGTCTATCATTTTCAGCTATTACTTCACTATAATGCTCTTGTAATGTAAAAATCTGTTGTGTATAATGCTTCAAATTCTATAATACTTTGTCACTAATATTCACCTATTATAATACTTCACTATAATATTCTTGTAGTATAATTCTTTGCTATATATAATGCTTCACAGTTAATAATACTTAGTCACTATAATTCTCTAGTAGTGTAATAAATTCTTGCTACATATAATGCTTCATCATCTATAATACTTGTCACACTATAATACTCTAGTAGTTGTAATATTCTTGATCCTTATAAAGCTTTCCCCATCTATTAAAAGTTTCTTGGTCACACTATAATACTTCCTGTAGTGTAATAATAATCTTGCTATAAACCTATAATGCTTCACCAGTCTCATTTTACCTCTACCATTTAATAAGACTCTCTATTTCTCTTTACCCTGACTATTATACTAATACTGATTATATTTACAGCATCAAAACGCCGCCCAAACGTTGGTGAGTCGGGAAATATAACAACTAGACAAGCATGTGGTCCTTAACTATAACTATACTCTATTATACTCCTATTTATAAGGCCATTATTACTGCATCGTTACTTTGGTTCTTCTGGTTAACACTCTAGTATAATTGCATTGATATATTTATATATATATTTTTTTTTATTATTGTTATTCCATATTTTTTTATTGCATTTTCATCAATATTATTTCTTCATTATTATTATACTTGGGCATTATTGTATCATATTGTTCATTACATTTACATAAGAAAGTCATTGGTGGTATTTGAAATATTATCATATAGCATTATTATTTTTTTATTATTTTATTATTATTATTAGATTTTAGCATAATTGCATTTTCTTCATTATTTTTAATTTTGTTACTTTATCATATAGTTGCATTATGGTCTTGAATAATTATCAATTATTATAACGTTTCTGGTTAGCACGATTATTGCATTGTTATCGTCTGCCATTATGGTTAATTATTATATTTTTTTTAATTTGTATATTGGGGAACATTTATATATTGTAGTTAATTTTATAGTTAATTATTTGTAGTGTTTTTTTTTTACTTATTATTATATTTATTCGGTTTAATGTTATTTATTTATTTATTTATTTATTTATTTTTTTTTTTTTCAGTTTGACTTTCCAAGTTTGTAATTTGTTTTAGTTTTTTATTTCGCGTTTTTATTTCCTTTCATCGATTTTTTACGCCTTTTACTTTATTTATTTGTAGAATTTTGGTATTGGTTATTCTTTAAATACGTTTTTTATTTAATTCATTTCTATTTTTTTCACTTGTTTTTGCTTATTCACTTTAGTTATTTTATTACCTATTATCTTCCTTTACTTATTACATCCTTTTCACGTTTATTTATATTTTTTTGTTGCTTATAGATTCTTTACTCACTTATAATAGTGTTATATGATGGTCGTTATCACCCCACACCTCCCTACTGTCATCCAAGGCAGAGAAATTATCTACGGTGAAGGCTCATAGGTCAATAAACTCACTAAAATAGCATTAAATCCCTTTTAGGTAGCATTAAATCCCTTTCAGGTAGCATTAAATCTCTTTAAGTAGCATTAAATCCCTTTCAGATAACATTAAATTTCTTTAGGTAGCATTAAATCCCTTTCAGGTAGCATTAAATCTCTTTAGGTAGCATTAAATTCCTTTCAGGTTGCATTAAATCTTCAAGTAGCATTAAATCCCTTTCAGGTAGCATTAAATCTCTATAGAGTAGCATTAAATCCCTTTCAGATAACATTAAATCTCTTTAGGTAGCATTAAATACCTTTCAGGTAGCATTAAATCTCTTTAAGTAGCATTAAATCCTTTTCAGATAACATTAAATCCCTTTCAGATAGCATTAAATCTCTTTCGGTAGTATTGAATTCCTTCAGATAGTTTTAAATCCTTTTCAGACAGCATTAAATCCACCTGTAGAGTCAAAACCAATTAAGATAGTTTCAATCAGCTAAGATAGCCTTAAATCCCCTAGATAGCTTAAATCCCCTAGGAGAGCTTAAATTCGCTAAAAAGTACCTTAAAGCCTGCAAGATAGCTTAAACCAATTAATTTAGCTGATTAAATCCAACAAGAGAGCTTAGATTCCGTAAGATAGTCTTAAACCCCATAAGACAGCATTGTATCGCTTATAAAGGCCTAAACCACTGTAAGATATCCTTAAATCCTCTTTAATTAGCCTCAAAGAACTTTAGGATAGGTTTCAATCCCCTTTTCCTAAATCCTTAACGAATCGTCCAAAATACCCCACCGAAATAATCCTTTAAATCCTCTGACGATGTCTTTGAAACTTCCTTAAAGTATTTTTAAATCTTGAAATATCCATAAATATTTTCTATAAAGTCAATAATAAATTAGGATCTCCTTAAATTTACTTACACAAAAAAATTCTAATCTTGGGTTAAAATTCCCCTATAATCTATCTGAAATCTCATAAACATTATTTTAATTTTCCTCTTAAAATCTTTCTCATAAACCTAAAAAATAACTATAAATTCCCCCATAAATCTTTCTCATAATCCTAAAACATTAACTTTAAAATTCGCTATACTGTATTTATTTTACCCTTAGAAAGTTAATAAAGAAAATGGTTGTATTTATTCTCTAATTGATGGGAGACTTCGCCAGAGTATTATTTAGTCTCCTTTTAATTCTCAATCAATCATTACGACTTTAACCAACGCTGCAATTCTGTCCTAATTCCTCCTCCTCCTCCTCCTCGTTATCTTGTATTGTTTCCCTCTTCCTCTTGGTCATTACCTCCCTTGTGTCTTGACCAATCAGCATCGTCCATTGTGCTTTTCACGCCTTCTATTGCTTGATTTTTCTCTCTTTCTTCTATCGGCTTCTCTTGTTTCTTCTTTCTTCTTTTTAGTCCCTGTTTCTCCTTCTCTCTCTCTCTCTTTTTTTTTTTTTCTCTCTCTCTCTCTCTGCAATTTGCTATTGTATTGTTCGCTCCATTTCATTCTATTTTAATATTCATACTAATCGCTTCATTATACTATTATGACGTCATCATCATCATCATCATCATCATCACCACTTACTGTTCAATGCCTTTCCTCTGTCATTACCGCTCTTCCTCTTTCCTCCTCCACCTCTTCAATCTTCTCGTCTCTTTCATTTTCCTTCCTCCTCTTTTTTTTTCACCTTCTTCCTCCTCCACCTCTTAAATTTTCTCTTCTCTTCCTTTTCATTTCCTCCTCTTCCTTTTATCTTCTCCTCCTCCTTCTCTTACCCATCTCAGCACCACATCTTTCCCCATCATTTGCTTCCTCGTTGTCTTGTCAGCTTCCTTCCTCCCTCTTCCTCCCTCCTTTCCGCTCCCCCCACCCTCCCGTCCGCCCTACCTCCTCCTCCCTCCCTTCTGCCCCTACCTCCTCCTCCCTCCCTTCTGCCCCTACCTCCTCCCTCCCTCCCCCTTCTGCCCCTCCTCCTCCCTCCCTTCCTGCCCCCTACCTCCTCCTCCCTCCCTTCTGCCCCTACCTCCTCCTCCCTCCCTTCTGCCCCTACCTCCTCCTCCCTCCCTTCTGCCCCTACCTCCTCCTCCCTCCCCTTCCTCCCTACCTCCTCCCTCCCTTCCGCGATCTTCCCTGTCCCTCTTTTGCTTCCTTTTCCTCCCTTCATCTCTCTCTGTCCCCCCTCTCTGCCTCCTGTTCCTCCTCTTTTGCCTTCTCCCTTCTCGCTCTCTCCTCTCTTTCTTCTCCTTCCCTATGTCCCTACTCCTCTTTCTTCCTCTCCCCTCCTTCCTCCATCTCTCTGCCTCCCTTTTCCTCCTTCCCTTCTGCCCTCTTTCTCCTTCCTTCTTCCCACTCCCTCTCCCTAACTTAACTGCCTATAACCTAACCTAACCTAACCTGACCTGACTTAAACTAATCTACATGATTCTTAACTCAGCCTCACTTCATTTATTCTCTCCATCACCACGCACATTTTTTTTCTATTTGGGCATTAAATTTTATATATATTTTCTTTTCTATTACGTAAACATACTTAGTAAAGATTATTTTCCCAAACAATAACTTTTTTGACAGTATTCTTAATTATGTTTAATCGCTTTTGTTTTGTTTTCTTTTCTTTCTTTAGATTTATGCAATTTTTTTATTGTTTCGTCTTCTTTTGCTTTTCTGGGACTCGAGTTAAGCTTCAATCATTCCAGTGGCTGCCGCGAAGCTTCGAAACTCTGCTCGAGACGAGTTCATAAAGTTTGTATGACAGCGGGGATGATGGGCGGCCAAGCTGGTTCATTTTTGGGTCTCGACTGCACCCGGAGGACCTCAAAATGAACCCTCATAATTAGATATCTATTAAAGACGATTAAATACTCTTTAATCACTTAGAAACTTAATCATAATTGAAACTGCTGATCAAATCACACTGCTTTAAAATCCTCTACACAAAAGCTAAACAAATGCCTTTATAAATTGTAACTAATTTACCCCCCCACCCTCGCCCATCATCTCCCAAAAACGCCAAGAATTAGTCCAGCATTTATTTCTTGCATCTGCTTAGGAATGTTAACCAATTAGATGGCATGAATGAAACTGCTAAATTAATATGCATATATATGATTAAGGACAATTTATACAGTGTACATAATGTATATTTAGTTTTATATATATATACATTTATAATAAGATTGAAATATGCACATTTATTTTTTTATGGATATACACATTACATCTATTGAATCTTTGCAATAATATGATGGCAAATTTTATTCCTATTGCAATATGACGCTATTGTTTACGCCATGTCCCGCGTCAGGTAAGTAATTTGCATACTGATTGCTGCTGAATATTGGTTCAGTAATGTGTTAACTGATACGTGTACGTGATTGGTAGGGAATGATTAATAGTAGGTGGTTGGTAGCTGGTGATTGGTTGGGTTTGATTGGCAGGGGTTGATTGGTAGGGGTTGATTGGTAGGGGGTGGCTGGTGACTAGTAAGGGGTAATTGGTAGGTATTGATTGGTAGGTAGTGACTGGTGATTGGTAAACGGAACTCCTGGCTCTGTGTTAATCAGTATCCAGTCAGTCGTGTATATAGAAGTACCCTGAACGGCGGTGAAGTACCCTGAACGGCGGTGAAGTACCCTGAACGGCGGTGAAGTACCCTGAACGGCGGTGAAGTACCCTGAACGGCGGTGAAGTACCCTGAACGGCGGTAAACCTGAACGGCGAAGTACCCTGAACGGCGGTGAAGTACCCTGAACGGCGGTGAAGTACCTGACGAGACTGAACGGCGGTGAAGTACCCTGACGGCGGTGAAGTACCTGGACGGCGGTGAAGTACCCTGAACGGCGGTGAAGCACTTCTGAACGGCGGTGGTACCCTGACGGCGGTGAAGACCCTGAACGGCGGTGAAGTACCCTGAACGGCGGTATACCCTGGACGGCGGTGAAGTACCCTGAACGCGTGAAGTACCCTGAACGGCGGTGAAGTACCCTGAACGGCG